AAAACCCAAATACTAAACAATTACATTTTGAGGGTAAGGAACAAGGAGATATTTATATTGTATTATCATAGTTTGAAGCTTAATATTAATTAAAATATTAAATATACCAACCAACTCACTTATAAAGCCTGATGCTCTTACTTCCATTATCTTAAATACTATTGTTTCTCACTTGTTTATCAATGTTCAATACTTTAGACAAAAAAAGCCGACCACAACATAAATAACTTGAAAAAACCAATTAAAAAAACTGATCAAAATACACTCTTAACTATCAAGGTTTAAGAATAAAAACGAATAATAAAAACCAAAACCATAGACTGGAAAATAGGCAGAAACTACAATAGATATAAGCATTAAAAGCGACCTGAATTGCATATGATTTAAGAGAAATATTACTGCGTTCAGACGGAGAAAAAGTTTAACTCCGCATTAAAATGACCTGATATTGGCGAAAATAAGGGATCAAGAGGAGACAACCAGACAATCTTTTTAAGCAAGGTAGCGATACAATTTCCTATCCCCCTTATCCCTCTCTAAGAACTCGCGTTCAATAAGGGACTCTATTCGTTTTTTGATTACAACAGGGTTTGGTAAAAACCGTGACTGTAGTTGCTTTGTCACCTCAGTAACAATGTTGTTGTGATCCAGCACCCGCCTTGCCTTCATGATCCTCACAATTGCTGCCTCAATCTGCGGTTTTCTATCTTCCTCCACTCTCTGCCTAGTTTCTTGATTCTCAGGTTCAGATTCCCTCTGTGCAACCACTGTGCCTATCTTGACCTTGAAGAATTTGCTTGTGAACTTGTCGTTGAAGAAGAAGGCATCACTATCAGCTATGTCCTTGCTCATTGGCTCTTTCCGTAGCACATTTTTTCCCTTCACACAGGCAAGAGATTGCAGGCATCTCTTCAAGTCTGAGGCAGGTATTTCTGCGGCCTGCTCAATCTCTCTATAGGTCAGTCGATCGGTGTTGTTGAAAAGCATAAGTACACACATCTGATATGTGGATACATTTAGCTCATGCTTCTGGCCCTTCCCAAAGGTTGCCTTCAAATCAGCTGTGCCCATATTTGTTTGCCAGGTCAATCTCCGCCCAGTGTGGGTCCCAAGATAGTAGTTACGGAACTTTTCACATATACTGAGAATTTCTGTAGGAAGGTTGCATGTATTGATTGGCTGAGTTGGCCATGAACCAGTAGTTAGGACCTGGACAGAGAGTGTAGGACCATCCCCTAAATCAGCACCCACATTTGCATAAAAGCCCTGCATTGTATCTTCTGATGTCTTCATGTCAGTGAACATACCCTCCAATTTTGAAGTAAACTGATAGCCACACTCCGTTTTGAGTTTTACAATCAAACTTCTTTCTGCATCATCAGAGACGGTCTTCCCTGAAAGAAGCCGTTTGGCCAAATGTTGTTTGTAATACTTCTCAAACACATCTTTCTCTTGCAGGTAACGAAAGAGCATCATAACCTTGTCAAGTATAATCTCTACATCCTCCTCACTAACCCCCTTCAATCCTTTCCGAAGTTTGTCATCAACAAACAAAGAGATATATTCAGGAGAGCGAGAATTCAAATTAATGAAGTACTCAAATGAGGAATTCAAAGCATTTTGGAAAGTCTTGTCATTGCTAAATGCTGAACCAATAATCTTGTCGTATTTATCTTTTATATCCAAGAGACGTTGTACAAAATCTACTGGATCCTTTAACCGTTCAAGGTCTGTAACCAGCTGCTTCCCAGTTTCCCGGATGTATGAAGTCATAACATCTCTGATTAAAACAAGCCCACTAGCTACCCGACGAAACAAGGAATACATCCTTCCCAAGTCCTCATATTTGTCACCTACAATCATATTAACTAACCCTGAGTTCTCCATATGGACAAGTCTCTGCATGTGACTTTCTATCAACTCCTTCTCTACCACGTTGGTTATTTTGGCTTCACTTTTTGCATCCAAATAGTGAGAAACTCTCTCTATTTCCTCATTTAGACGTCTCTCAGCTTTCTTTAGATACTCCCCACAATCACAAGACTCAATGAACTCTTGAGACTCAAGGCGATAAAAGTCAGCTGAAGACTCAAGAAATTGCTTCTCAAAGTCATCCTGGTAAACAGAAGAACCCAGATCCATTAACATCTTTGTGATATTCCTCATCAAACCCCTGTTTATGACTTCACCACTCCTTTCTCCCTGTATGAGTTCAAGAAGTGTATCCAGAAGCCTAGTCTGGATTTTGCTGGAGTGGATGACAACATCCCTCCACAGATTCAACCCAAGCTCATGCACTGGAGTTTTGTGGGCACTTGGAATGAATGTCCTATCCATGTACATCAATATATCTCGGATCATTTGCAAGGCCTTGTTATGATCTGCCCACTTCCTGTTCAGCTCTTCCAAAAATAACCCTCCCTGAGCAGCTTCAATTGAACTACATATCTCCTTCAGATGAAAAGTCATGGTTGCCACAAGTCCAGAGTACAGTTTCTCTCCAAATTTGTGCAGCACCATATTGTAAGCATTCCTGGATTTAATCCAATGCCAATGTCAGCAGCATAAAGTTTTCAGAAATGAAATAGAAACAGTTAAAAAGTAACCTTCAAAGTAATCAGGAACAAGTAGCAGGTTTCAGGATAGAGCATACCACTTCATCAGATGAGACACTGTCAACCAACAAAACTGCTTTAACTTTCAATTTCAAGAAACTCATAATAAACGGAAGTTGAGTACATGAGAAAATGAAGACATAATTAAAGTAAACTTTCATGTATGTTATTAGGAATGTCAAAAATGTGGATATTTTTCCTTAGCTCATCATGCATCCTGAATGTCAAGCATCCAAACATAGGGCCTTAATGCTGATGTGTTGAAAGATAGTTGGTCATATTATTAAGGAAAAACTGAATATGAAATGGTCGACAGAGTAGGTCACACAACAGGATCAGAAATTAGAAAATCAACAGAGTAATTTCTGAGGCACATTTGAGTAACCTTCAATATCCAACGTTATGCATATAACATTATCCATTTTCTAAAGAAAACTATAAGTCTAATGGGCACGGCAACAAGTATTAACAAACAAAATGTGTGTGTGTGTGTGTGTGTGATATTAACATAAATTATACAATTTCGTTTTTGTAACATTCCCTGTTTACTTTTTTAATTTTTAGTTATTTTTAGGATTCTATTTCTAGTTATTTTTAGGATTCTATTTCTAGTTATTTTTAGGATTCTATTTCTTACATTAAGGTCTTAAAATGATACTAAATGGATTTGAATTTGTAAGGTTCAAAAAAGGTTTAAAGCCCATGATATGTTATCAAGAATAATGAAACTTGTGAGGTCTCTTTGATTTTCAGATGGATTCCAGACTGCAAGATCTTGAGCATTTGTACAAGCAATAAGATCTCTATATCTGGTCGTTGACTATACTTTACTGTTTACACATACCCCTATGAGAGAGGTACACCTTTGGATCGGCTGAACCAAGCTGCTTATCTTACCTCATCTCCATTCATCATTATAATTAGCCGCTACGTGCTCTCCCATGTCTCCATCAAGATAAATATGCTATTTAACTACTATAAGAGCCAACCAATCAAAGAATGAAAACAGCAAACAAGAAAAAGAACGAGGAACAAACTTTCCCTCAAACTTAATCCATGCAATCAATAAATATATTCAGCTAAAGAAACACATTATTAATACGATTTAGGCATTAGAAAATGTCAAAACCAACAAAGAAAATGCCAAGAACCAAGAAACTGGATGAAATTCAACCCCTTCAAATATTGAAATATGATCAAACTCAACAGACAATTAGATACAAACACACCAAAATCTTTAAATTTCAGCTGTTGGCAAAGCTAGTGATATCCTTGGATTAGCCATATTCCACTTGTATCACGTTATAATTTTAATCCATTCACCATTTCCTCCAAACTAAATCACATAGGCACCCAGAAATGAGTAAAATCAACTTCTAGGAAAGCTAATGATATCCATAGATTTGCTTTATCCACCATCTCCCACACTTATGCGTGAACTAATTCATCATTTCTCCACAAGATATCACGAAACACCCAAAATTTTGTTAAAAGAGAGCTTCAAATTCAGCTTCTATGGAAACTAATTAACTCCAAACTCCAAAGATTACAATCATTTCTCCACAAGATATCATGAAACCTAAAAAATTTGTTAAAAAAGAGCTTCAAATTCAGCTTCTAAGGAAACTAATTACCTCAAGACTCCCAAGATTCCATAACTTACAGTATCGTTTCAACATCACATAAACACCCAGAAAACGGAGCAAAATAAAACTGAATCAAAGCACAACGCCAAACAATCACAGCAACACTGAAGCAAATTAGAGTCCATAAATAAGAGCAAGCAAAGTTAACCTATAGAGCTCTTCAAAGCTGAGGCCACTAGCATTATGATTATAAATCTCATGAATCGCATGTTCCAGAATATTCCACGTCTTCTCTGCGTATTTTGGATCCGCCACGACCCGATGCCTAAACGCCTCTATCTGAATGGTTTTCTTCTTCGGAGCACTCATCTTTCTTCTTCTCACGTAACGACCGCCAATTCCCTCACGGAAACCCTAGAATCCAACAGGCGGCCGGAATTCTTTCGCCGCTTAAGGTTGTGCGTCAAGGATTTGGAGAGGAAGCCTTAGGTCTTGACCTGAGATGAAGTCAGCGGAGCAGAAGCAAGAGGGCATGAGAGGAGGAAGGTTTTTCCCACTTCTGTAAGATTAATCGAAGAAAGGTATTGGTTCCGATGGAGATTGACGGAAGAAGGATTGATTAGGGTTTTTTCTGAATTTGATTGAAGAAACAGGATTTTTACAGATTCGGAAAAGCAAAAAGGGCCGGACTGCGGAGAAAACTGGAAGCTACGTTTTGCTATTCCTGCAGTTTACTTTCCCTGTACTCCTCATTTATCCTTTTTTTTTTAGGCCATTTTGGGGGCCCGGACAATCAGTCCGGAGT